TGTGTGTGTGTGTGTGTGTGTGTGTGTGTGTGTGTGTGTGTGTGTGTTTTATAGAAACAGACATCATGTATGCTTTCTAAATTCTCTCTATAGATAATTAATTGTTTGCTCCTAGTTTCTCCCTGTGCTGATTTTACAAGGTAAAATAGACGTTTTGAACAACCCCATTCTCAAGTTTACTACATGTCCTTTATATAGGTAGACTTGTCCATAAGATGTAAGCTCAATGACCCTTCACAGGACACTTCAATTAATCATAAGCTCTACCTCACATTCATGGCCGTCTCAAATAACCCTCTTAAGAGGGCGAGGGAGTGACGCGTTCAAGGCCTGAATAATAATAAAAAGTTTAGGGCCATTTTTCTTTTTCAAACAACCTTGGTCGTGACTTCTTTGCCATCTTCATTTCATCCTTTGTTAAATATCTCGCTCTCCTTTTTCTTAAACATGTCCTCACAGCCAGAATGAACTCATTTGGAAGACAAACCCCCCCCCCCCGCTTCAGATTAATTTGCTGTTATCATCATTAACCTCTGCCCGTCTTACAAAGTAGGCTAAAGACTCGGGAGAGTCGAATTTAGATTCAAATCTGTTGGGACGTGATGGCTATACGTTGCTATTCTGACGACAATGCTCCCATTATGGAACGCCATTTTAACCTTACAGGGCTCATTCAAGAACGCATAATTGGAGGTTGCTAAAATCGACTGAAGCCTTCGGTGAGAGGGGCTTTGATTTGCATATATAGGCCAGGATGGTACATAGGCTAATGATATAATGTCCCATATACTTTGAATTTTATTCTGGGCTCTGGGTGCTAAGCTAACTCCGGCCTTCCATGTGGAGCGGTAAACTAATGAGGTGCAGGTGGCTGGTCCTGACTCAGTTTTGCTGCTTTTTCCCTCTTTATAATTAAGGTTAGGAATGGTGTGTGTGTGTGTGTGTGTGTGTGTGTGTGTGTGTGTGTGTGTGTGCAAAGTCTGCTGTACTCTACTGCCCTACTCTTGCTAATTTTAGAGCTATGCTGCTAAGCTAACGATTGAATGGTTTTCCACTGGGCTTTTTCCACTCTGCCACTCCCTGCTTTACTGTTGTATTTATAGATCCAGTTTAACTCTGTGTGTGCGTATATATATATGTGTGTGTGTGTCTACTAACTATCCACGCTGCGAGGATGACATTTTCCTGTGCGGGCTTCTTCTGCTCTGTTTTTCCCCTTGGCCTCTCATGTGACCCATATGCAGGGACCCTTACCAAGAGAAGGACACGGGAGAATGTCAGCCGAGCCCTTGAGGTTGTGTGTCAGTGGATCTACGTGTGTGTGTGTGTGTGAGTGCAAATTCAATGCTCATCCACTGATGTCCTGCTTATCTCCTGTGTCTCCCGCCATCGTGTGTGTACGTGTGTGTGTGTGTGTACGTGTGTGTGTACGTACGTGTACGCACACACGCCGCATCCAGGGTGTATGATGAGACAGTCTACTAGTGTTAGCTTGGTTAATCTTTTCAAAGGGACTCAAGTCTTTGATATCCTCTGAAACCCCAAATCCCCTTTAAGATTTTGATACATGTCTCTCTGGTGATCTGGCCACCACAAACATTAGGCTGCTTCATGTCTGCTACCAAAATGCCTCCGACAGGATCTCTAGCTATATTATGGAAATCTCCAATCCATTATCTGTCTAATTCTTTCTTTTCAATTTGATTCTGACTTATTCTTTGGAAGTAATAATGGTTCATTTAGCAACATTTCTACCCTAAAACTCTATCGGTGGGGATTCCTGGGGTCTGTCCCAGGTCAAACGTTCACAATGTTTATACACACACACACACACACACACACACACACCCGCTGCAGTGTTTGCGTTTCTTATCTGGTAAACAATATGCATTCACCCCAAAAGGCTTCTATCATGACTCATTCTGACGGCTACATAAAAGCCGTTAAAACGCGAAGGATTTGAAGCTGTGAAGTGAGCAACAAAAAAAGAACTCCTGTGTCACTCCGTATTGTGAAATCAGGCCTTAAAGGGACAGTTCACCCCAAAGTCAGAAACACATATTCTTCCATTGAGCAGGTTCATGTAGGAGCTGAGAGAAGGCATATACATATATATATATCTCCAAAACTAGGCAACTTGCACCAAAAAAATCTAGATTGATAAATAGCTCTACATTCAAGAGGAAAAATATGTATTTTTGATTTTGTGGTGAACTGTCCCTTAAGAGTTCAGCTTTCACAACAGTTGTTTCGTCTTTGTTGCTCACTTTACAGCTTCAAATCCTTCATGTTTTATCTGCTTTTATGTAGCTGTCAGAATGATTTTTCCACCATTCTGCATAATACTCATGTTGAGTTGAATCCAAGTTTTTAACAGACAACATTTTATTCTTTTGGGAATCCCCCCCCCCCGGGTAGCTGCTGTATCAGAGGAAATAATTCTGATGCAACGTGGGAGTAACCGGACAGAGAAGTAAAAAAACAAGATTTCTGTCTTGTGTATGGAAGGATGCACATCATGTATGCTCACCACCCACACTGTCTAGGGCCTGTATTCTGTATTTATCTCACTGCTCATCTCTTTCTCCTGCAAACACACACACACACACACACACACGAGCTGAGTGCTCGGTCCTTGCCTGTGCTCTCAGAATGGTGTTTATGTGTGGTCCAGGCCTGTAGTTGCACTGTTTATATCCATGGAGAAAGCCATTTGGGTGGTAGCCAGACAGTCTGCCTCTGGCTCCGTCTGCCTCTGGAAACATAGAGGGTGTAGTGACGCTGTTGGCCGGATGGGGGCAGCACTGACGGGAGCAGACTGTGCTCAGTGTTGGCCCGCTCCAGGTTTTCTAAGTCATCCAACGGTTTCATTCCAAAATTGAGCTCAACCACTATTTAAGTAAACAGCACAATCTTTCAGGAACGATTGCTGTCAGCGATGTAAACTACATGTCAACTCTTAAGTGGTCGTGGTTGCTTCCTTAATTCATATTCGTCAATAAATATCAGGCATTGTTTTATGATTTTTTTGTATTGACATATACGAGATAAGAATAGATTGGTGTGTAAATGAATAACTGTCTGCGCACACACACTCCTGGAAATGAGTCTCTTACATAAGATTCCTTTCAAGGAGTGTGGTTTTGTGTGTGTGTGTGTGTGTGTGTGTGTGTGTGTGTGTGTGTGTGTGTGTGTGTGTGTGTGTGTGTGTGTGTGTGTGTGTGTGTGTGTGTGTGTGCCAGCACCGTATATGTGCAGCACTGCCGCGTTTACCCCGTTGCCCTCCGGGCTTTCCTCCGTGCCTGCCAGCCCCAGCGTGGTGCCGCTCTCTCCGGTTCAGCGAGTCCAGTTCCTCTGCTCTGCTTGCATAACCTTCAGCGCTGACCCAGTGAACCAAAGACCTCAGAGCCCTCGTACGTGATTACACGTATGAGACACGTGTGGACTTTTCACATCTGGTTTTTGAGGAAAACGACTGCCAATGCTGGAGAACTGTGCTTGGGACCTCTATCTTTAGTTCGATTTGATTTTGTTTGATGGTATTTTTATTGTCTTAGAATCTGGCTTAACTAGGAGCACATTTTCACTCCTGGGAACACGATATTCAAGTCTGACAGCTACTCGTGTGTCTCAAGTGCATTGTTGCTGTGACAACTGAATTTCCCCTGGGGATAAGGTACTTTCCTCTCTCTAATGTATGATTGCTGTTTGATTAAAGCCTGGAAACTGTACAAGTAGAGTTTTGAGTCTCTTGTCACTCATGATGCAGACGTTTCGTCTTACAGATTATGCTTTCTCCTCCAAGTGCAGAGCCACTGTTTGTGGGGTTGATGTTTTTGCTGACATCAAGGATCGTCAATCGGGAGAAGTAATCCCTAAACCTCACTCGGTCTCTCAGACTCTGTTTCTCCGCTATTGACTAGTGAACAGTTTGTCAGAGCTCAGCTGTAGAAGATAGCTTTCCGCTCCATGCTAGAGAACCTGCAGTTCTCTCCCTTTTTGACCTTCCCTGTTAAAAATAGCAGCTCTCCCACTTCCTGTGCACACATGTGGCACTTTGTTCTAAGTCAGCATGTCCACATGTCCCCATGGCAGCTAAAACCTCCTGATTGACTATTTAAATTGTCCTCATTGTTTCAGTTCCAGTTAAGGGGACAAAAGAGGGTAGCCAGAGA